AAGAGACAGCCAAGAGACCATTTGAAATAAAAGACGATGGTGTTCCACAAAGGCTTGGATGTGCTGCAGCTCCAAGGCCCCTCGGCTCAAGATGCTTCCAAGAAGGCCTCGGAGGAGACAGCAGGCGAGGCTCCCCTCAGAGTGCCCTGAGACGACCCCCGAAGGAGCCAAAGGCAGCCCCAAGACGGCCCAGGTAGATCCACACTGGCCCCGCAAAGAATTGAGACGAGGGTTGTCACATGCTGCGGCCTTCTGCGTGCTGCCCGAGTCGTCGCCACACGGAGAGCAGCGCTGGCACGGTGGCGGCGTGTGCCGCAGGCAGCTGCATGATTCTGTCCTTCTCTTCCAGCTCCAGGTGACGCTCCTGAAGGGGAGCTTTCCAGGGGCGCAGAGTGGAGGGGGGGGAGAAGGGGGAAGCGCAGGAGAACTACAGCGCAAAATGGATGATGGAGGATGACACTTGATCGGATCAAGTAATGGCTCAACAACCAAGGTCTTCAAAAACGCCGACACGTGACTGGAATGTCCACTGACCCGCTTGAAAACCACTGAATGTTGCCTTCTCGCCGTTTCGCTTCCGATGGCCATCCGAGGCCCCTATATGGCTCCAAGGTGGCCCAAAAGGGCCCCAAGAGGGGCCGACGGGAGCCTCAAGACGGCCCCAAGAGCGCCCAAGAGCGCTCCAAGAGCGCCCCAAGAGTGATCAAGGATGCTATTTTGGGGGCTCCCGACGGGGGGGGGAAGTAGGGAACCCCCGTCTTTGATCGATCTCCTCCAAGATGGCACCGAGAGTGTCCCTAAAGCCTCCCAAGAGCGCCCCCAGAGGGCCCCAAGGGGCACCCAGACGGTCCCAGACGGCCCCAAGAGGCGCTCAAAACGCGTCCAAGAGGCCTCGAAGAGACCCCCCAGAGGCCTCAAGAGGATCCCCGAGGCACCCAAGAAGCCCCCCAGACGCTCCAAGAGGCCTCCAAAACAAACACCAGCAGCAACACCACCACCACCAACAGAAACAACGGCACCAGCAGCAGCAGCACCACCACCACCAACAGCGCGAGAACCAACAACACCACCAGCAGCACCAGCAGCAGCAGCACCACCACCACCACCAGTAGTACCAGTAGCAGCAACAGCACCAACAGCAGCACCCGTGCCATTCGCTACCAGAGATCTCCCAATTCACTTGCCCACGCTGTTTCACTGTGTGCGTCTCTTCCTCCCTTCTCCCGTCAGCTCTCCTGGGCATCGTTTCTGGACGGGCTGGTGGGATACGCGAAGCGTCAACAATTAGTTGCGCCAAGTATACGGAACATTCGTATCTGCTCATAACCATCTCAATCATGCCGAATCCCTCAGAAGCGAAAACTAACGTCAACACCGCCGATGATTGCTTGCATCAGTCCGTGGACGACTTAAGCAGCTCAGCTGGTTGTCTACACAACCTCGATGGGTGACGATGCGAAACTCCACCATAAACTCGATCATCTGGAATTGTATAACTTCCGCCATCGTTGGTTCGATATTCTGTCCAACGACACGTGCTCCAGCTCAGTGCCACACTGCCTCTCCAAGCGCGCCAGCGGCATGATGACTGCCATCAATCCCGTAACTCACATTTCCTCAGAACGGAGAACTGGCATGATTTGCATCCATACCACGTCTGCAGACATTCCTCCCCGCAGGGACTCGTAGGAAAATCCGCCGACCCTGTCGGCGTGTGTGAGGGGCTTTTCCGTTCGAGCCGTCATCTCCGTCATTCTTTGTACTCGTCGTCTCTGTCCTTCCCTTTCCCTGGGAGACCTCTTCCCCTGGGCTCCAGCCAAGCCGACCTTGAGCAACCTCGTAATTGAGTCGAAGGGAAGCCCCTTCCCTTTGATCCCTCCCCCGCCGGGAGGGGGGGGGGGTAGCGACCCCCCCCCCGGGTCAGATACGACGCCCCCCCCTGGGACTCCTCTTCCCCTGGGCTCCAGCCAAGCCGACCTTGAGCAACCTCGTAATTGAGTCGAAGGGAAGCCCCTTCCCTTTGATCCCTCCCCCGCCGGGAGGGGGGGGGGGTAGCGACCCCCCCCCCGGGTCAGATACGACGCCCCCCCCTGGGACTCCTCTTCCCCTGGGCTCCAGCCAAGCCGACCTTGAGCAACCTCGTAATTGAGTCGAAGGGAAGCCCCTTCCCTTTGATCCCTCCCCCGCCGGGAGGGGGGGGGGGTAGCGACCCCCCCCCCGGGTCAGATACGACGCCCCCCCCTGGGACTCCTCTTCCCCTGGGCTCCAGCCAAGCCGACCTTGAGCAACCTCGTAATTGAGTCGAAGGGAAGCCCCTTCCCTTTGATCCCTCCCCCGCCGGGAGGGGGGGGGGGGTAGCGACCCCCCCCCGGGTCAGATACGACGCCCCCCCCTGGGACTCCTCTTCCCCTGGGCTCCAGCCAAGCCGACCTTGAGCAACCTCGTAATTGAGTCGAAGGGAAGCCCCTTCCCTTTCATTCCTCCCCCGCCGGGAGGGGGGGGGGGTAGCGGGGGGGGTAGCGACCCCCCCCCGAGTCAGATACGACGCCCCCCCCCCGTACCGACCTTGAGCAACGTCGTCATTGAGTCGAAGGGAAGCCCCTTCCCTTTCCCTTCCCCGACGGGGGGGGGAGAGGAGGTCCCGGGGGGGGTCCCGGGGGAGTCCCGGGGAAGTCCCGGGTCAGATACGACACCTCCCTCCCCCACCTTCTCGTCCTTCTCCCCGTTCCCCCAAACCATCCCACAGCCCGTGCCTCTTGCTGCGCATTGCGAACAGGGTCGGCGGCACCGGCCGTCAGGCCTTCGCAATCATAGCGAATGTGCACGCTAAGAATTTAATGCATATCGGATGAATTTGGCAATAGTGTCCGTGATGTGATGTTACCATCTACCTTCGAGCTTGCAGCTCAAAAACGATCGCAGAGACTGCATCGTTCCTCGGGCGGATTCATTCCGTATCATGCACCATCTTCCTTGTCCTGGGATCACTTTACGTTTCCCACCTCCGACACTGATCCGCGTCTACGCCCCCTGGTAATCCACCTCTGTATAGATATATCACAAACACACTCATAACAACCCATCATCGCGTGAGCATGTGTCCTGCAAGATGAACGAAACATCACTTGCGGAAACCACGCCCTGGGACACCTTCATCGAGCATCCTGGGCTCGAGCCCAAAGAAGAGCAACCTGAAGATGAGCATGATAAGTTGGAGCAGAAGGACGACGACGCATAGTACTGCTGATTGCCACACTCCCTCGTCCCACGCCCTCTTCCCCTTCCAGACTCTAGGCTAGGGGGCTCGTGCCCATCTGGGATCGGAGGTGGGAAAGGCGAGAAAAGAATGCCAGGGAGCCGTAAAGGAAGGCCGGAGAGGCTGTTGTGATGGGCAGCTCGAAAAAAAGAAGGTAAGATAGAGAGAGGAATAGGTGAAGGATCGAGAAGATAGAGAGACGGAAGTGGGCGGAAGAAGGTGGAAAAGGTAGACGCCGGGTGGAGGCAGAGGGTACCAAAGGAGGATCTCAGCTTCTGTGTTCTAGGGGGCGCTCTTGTGGATTGTCAAGTATTGCCTCGAAGATCCAATGGCGCCCTAATCAGAGCACCTACCAGTTGATGCCTATTATGAAGGTTTTGCACCACCCGGTGGCCGCCGCGGGCTGTCCTTGTCGAGGGCCCTGCTGCCACTGGCGCGCTTGCTTGGGACGCCCTCTCCCTCCCGCCACCCCACGAGGCAGCAGACGAAGCAGGCCCCAGGACTCGGTAGGAGCAGCAGGACGAGCTGGAGCATCAGCAGCGGCGGCAGACGGAGGCGGCGGAGCAGCAGCAGCAGCAGCAGGCAAGGCGCACGTACAGGCCGCGCTGCCTCGACCCTAAGCGTGGTGCGCTCGCCCGCGGCTCCTGAAGCTCAAACCTGCAGCTCTCGAGCTCGCGGTACGCGCGGTCATTGTCCTCCAAAATGGCCTCCTCGGCAACCGCAAACAACGAGAAGGAGAACAGAAGAAAAAAGTAGAAAAAAAGTAGGGACGGAGAAGAACAAATCTGAGGAAGAGGGAGTACAGGAAGAGGTAGGGGGAGGGAGGACAGAGGAAGAGGAGGGAGAATTTGACGGCGGCGTGCACCACTGAACCACTGATACTCGCCTGCCCCCGTCGGGAGCGCCAGCCTGCGAGACTCCCCGCCGGACTGCTGCCCTGCGGGCGTGTCTCATCGCCTCTCTTCTCTCGGCAGTCCTCTCGTTCGTTTCTGATCGTTGTCTGCCCAGGGCGTACGCTTAAGTCGGGCCTGTCCCCCTACAGAGGGATTTTCGACGAAAAATCAAAATACTCCAAAAATACTCCAAAATTATCAAAAAATACTCAACTAATAGTCCCCAGACTATTTTGTTGACTATTCTTGAATATTCACCCTGTAGAGGGACAGGCCCGACTGAGTCCCTTTCCTTTCTGTTCGTGGTCTGCCCAGGGCGTACGCGGCGGGAGAAAACCTCGCAGATGGGGCTGGCCTCCCCCGCCCTGCCCCTGTCGGCTGCGCCCAGCTCTCCGTACGCAGAGGCGCCACAAGATAGCTGGGAGGGCTGGGTCGTCTTGGGGCTCCTCCTCCTCCTCCTCCTCCTCATCCTCATCCTCCTCCGTCTTGGGACCCTCTTGGGACCCTGTTGGGCTGTCTCGGAGCCCTCTTGGAGAGCTTTCGGACCTTTCGGGCTTTCGGTAGCCAGAAAGGGCGAGCACACCAAAACCTGTCAAACTCAATAAGAAACAATGCTTTACGCTCTCGAGAGCCTTCGGAGTCCTCTTTGAGCCCTCTCGGGCCGTCTGGGAGGCCTCTGGCGCCGTCTTGCGGCCATCGTGGGGCTCGTTCGGGACCGTCTTCGGCCCTTAGGATTTTCGACAATTACCCAAACTCGACTCCAGAGAGGGGGGGCAGCTTTCGGAGGATGCGCACAAGCCTGGGATGGGGTCAGAAAAATCCTTACCTGAACAGCAAATGGGCGAGGAGTCGGATACGCCACAATCCTGATCGTGTCTTGCCATCCTCTTCACAATGACAATGACAATGATAATGGAAGAAAGTACTCATCATCACCACCACCGCCACTCCACCACCAAAACAATCATCACCATCATCATCATCATCATCATCATCATCATCATCATCATCATCATCATCAGCAGCAGCAGCAGCAGCAGCAGAATCATCACAACCACTACCATTACCATGGTAATATTCGTCATCACCATCATCATCATCATCATCATCATCAGCAGCAGGAGCAGCAGCATCATCATAACCACTACCACTACCATGGTAAGATTCGTCATCAGCATCATCATCATCATCATCATCATCATCATCATCATCATCATCATCATCATCATCATCATCATCATCATCATCATCATCATCATCATCATCATCATCATCATCGTCGTCGTCGTCGTCGTCGTCAGCATCATCATCATCGACATCATCATCATCATCATCATCATCATCATCATCATCATCTTCAGCAGCAGCAGCAGAAGCATCAGCATCCTCATCGTCGTCGTCACCGTCGTCATCGTCGTCGCCATCAGCATCATCACCACCACCACCATCACCACAATCATCATCAGAATCATCATCATAATCATCATCGTCGTCATAACCACCACCACCACCACCATCATCACCATCATCGTCATCGTCGTCATTGTGAAAAGCATCAGTGCAATCATCGTCCCCATTAGCATCATTGTAAGCATCATAATCATCATCGCGAGCACCATCATCATCAGCAGCAGCAGCACCATCATTGTCGTTGCCGGTATCATCCTCTCATCGTCAGCAGCATGCTCATCAGCAGCATCATCAGCATCAGCATCAGCATCAGCATCATCAGCAGCATCATCAGCATCAGCATCAGAATCAGCATCATCATCATCAGCATCATCAGCAGCATCAGCATCAGCATCAGCATCAGCAGCATCAGCATCAGCAGCATCATCATCATCATCATCATCATCATCATCATCATCATCATCATCATCATCACCATCACCATCACCATCACCATCACCATCACCATCACCATCACCATCATCAGAGTCCCCCGTGGCCAGGGTTGACCTCGAACCGCGGCCAAGGCGCCCCCCCGCCGCGGTCCCACTCGGCGGCCGTGCCGAAATGCTCCAGGGACCCGCACTCCCGCTCTGGCACCTCGCACCTGCTGGGGAGGGCGGGGGCGGGGCCTCGGACGGCGCGCGCCCGGACCCGCTGCTGCTCCGTGCGGCATCGAGGATCGAAGGATCGAGGAGCAAGTGGCCCGTGGGTATTTCTGACCCTGGGGGGGTCCTTAGGAATCCGACCGACTTCCTTTCTTTCTTTACTGATGGCTATGCTAGAATAGCTGCCGTAAACTACTCCTCGGGAGACCTCGGGCAACGGATTCTATACTTCAAAATGGCACTGCGATGCGTGACCGGGCGCTGCATAAGTCGAGACACGGCCGATGCGGGACAACGACCCTCGAGCGCGTGCAACCTCTAGGAGGCCCCTCATACAGGGCCCGATAGGGGCCCTGCTAGATCCTGCCGGGTCCGATAGGAGCCCTACTGGTTACTTCTCGGACCCTAAGGCCAGCCCTGTGGGATCCTTCGAGGATCCGACAGGAGTCCGATTGGATCCCTGTTAGCTCCGACACAAGCCCTCGGGGAAGACTGGCCCTGTAAGATCCCTGTAGGATCCTATGGATCCTACAGGGATCCGATCAGTTCCCTCATGCATGCCTCTAGGACCATGTAGGAACCACATTGGATCCCTGTAGGGTCCTATTCGAGCCCTGTAGGTGCAGGATCCCTCTAAGATCCGATGGGAGCCCTCTTGGATCCCTCCAGGATCCTGTAGGGACCCTGCAAGATCCCTGCAGGGTCCTGCAAAGGCCCGATTGAATCCCTACAGAGTCCTATGAGAGCCCTGGGACCCTGTAGGATCCTGCAGGAGCCCTTTTGGATCCATCTGGGATCCAGTTGAGACCCTGTTGGATCACTCCAGCATCCTGCGCGAACAGTATAAGATGCTCGTTGGTTCATATGACAGCGCTGAAGCCCTAGTGGTGAAAGTCGTATTCATCTCCTGTACGATTCCGGAGAAAGCCGATTCGAACCCACTAGGATCCTACGGAAGTCCTACTGGATCCCAATAAGCTCCTGCAAGAGTCCTGAAGGATCCGTCTAGGATCTTACAGGAGCCCTACTGGCCCGCTTCTGGGATCTAATCAGAAGCCTATACGGCCATTGTGGAATCTTATGGGCGCCCTATGGGGTTTCGCCAGGATCCTCTAGGGTCCTTTTTGGATCCTGGTGAAAACCTGTAGGAGTCCCATTGGATCCCTCTCAATCCTAGAGGGGCTTTGTAGGGTCCCTACTGAAGCTGATGGGGCCCCGAATGGATCCCTGGAGAATCCTAGGATCCCTATTGGAACCTTGTAAGATCCTCTGGGAACCATACCGAGTCCCTGCTGGATCCTATAGGGTCCCGAAACGACCGCTATAGGAAGCCTGATTAGATCCATGCATGATCTCATAGGAGCCCGATTGGAGCCCTCTGGGATCATATGTGGGCCATGTTGCGTCCTGTAAGGTCCTAAAGCAACCATCTTGGATCCCACAAGGGCCCTATGGGAGCCAGGAGACGTATTGAATCCGTCGAGGATCCTGCAGGAATCCTACACGGTCCGTGTAGGGCCCCATAGGGGCCCACGAGGATTCCTCCAGGAGTCTATAGAAACCCCATTGGGTTCATGTAAAGTCCCATCGGGGACCTGTTGGATCTGGTAAGGCTCCTGTGGGGTTCCGTGGAGATCTGCTATGGCTTGCACAGGTTTCCGCCAGGATCCGAGACGGTTCCTGTAAACCGCCGTAGGGATCCTAAGGGGCACCCATAAGGTTTCGAAGGGATCCTACATGGCTCCAATGCGATCAGGTAGAGAACCACCACGACAGCGCGAACATTGTGGCTGTTGCTGGGTTCCCTGGGGGCGGCCGGGGCGCGGCGCACAGCTATCACCAACAACAACCATACTACTAATACTCGTAATGGTAGTAATGTCAAACTGTCCGCTTTCATATGCTCGCGTGTCGAGCAAGATGTGTATCCCCGAACCCCCGATACCCGCCCTCTTCGTTTTCGATTCTGCCCCCCCTTTGGGGTATGTTTCTCTCACCTGCCACGTGTAGTTGCGCAGCTCCAAACACAGGGGAAAGGAAGGAGTAGGGAAGAGGTAAGGGGGAGGGAGAATTATGGAGCACGAGAGAGAGTTGCAGCAGGGGGCTTAGGACAAGGGAGGCAAGGGGCATACCCAGACAGGCGGCGGGCGGGCCAGGCGGGCCCAGACGGCCAGGTCGAGCAGGCGGGTCGCTGAAGCCGACAACAGTAGGGGGGTAGCTTCGGAAGCCCTCCCCCCCATTGTCCAAGGGGGTGGTAGCTAGAAGATGGTGCCCCCCCGTTCCTTATTCCAGGCGCTGCGTGCGCTTTCTTTGGTACATGCATAAAGGTATGCATACATACACACCTACACACATACATGCATGCATGCATGCATGAATGCATACATACATAAATACATGCATTAGCACATGATTATATGCACGCATGCATACATACATTCATACGTGCAAACGTACATACATGTATACGTATATACATACAGGCATACAGGAAGGCATGAATAAATGCATGCATCAATACATGCATGCAGACATGCGTACATACATAGACACATGTTCACCGACCTAGATACCAACCTGCGTGCATGCATACATGCTTGCATACATACATACATGCATACAGGTATGCGCACATACACACACCTACATACGTACATACATACATACGTCCATCCATACATACATACGTGCATGCATGCATACAAACATACGTACATACATACGTACATACATATGCATATACATATATAAACATACACGCATGCGTATATACGTACAAGCATGCATAAATACTATAAAATTAAATAACTATATATAGTTACGTACACACATACACATGTGACTGCAAACAGATGTGCGCTTGTGTGAAGAATTACAGTTGCGACTCCTGTGCACCCTAGTGAATTTCCTTTCAAACAAGTATAGCTTTGCATCATGTCGCATTTCCTGTATCACAAACTGATCCTTCCGGAATCCTCCAGGAACCTTCAGGAATCTTACAGGAATCCTCAGGAATCTTCAGACATCCCGAGGACATCCTGCAGGCATCCTGCAGGAATCTGCAGGAATCCGACAGGAAATCCCAGGAATCAGCCTTCGGGAATGACCTTAAAATCCTCTGGAGCCTTCGGGGATCTTCAAGAATCTTCACAAAACCTCAGGAAACTAGGATCCAAACAAGGGAATTCAACAAAAGCCATTTCAGTCACGCAACCAGGGACTGTAAGACCACTAGGCCGCCTCACCCTGGAAAACTGACAACGAAGAAGGAACCAGGATGAGTGTGGGAGTGAGGTTGGGAGAGCAAATGGGAGTGCGAGTGGCATTGGCTGACATTACCACCTCCGTTCCCTGTCATGCCCTACCTGCCCTTCTGGCCCTTCACTCTTTTCTCTCACCTCCCCTGCTCCCCTTCCCTGCATCGATCCCTCTGTCCCCGCCCGCCTTCCCCCATCTATGCATTCCTCCCTCCCTCCACCTGCATCCCTCCCTGATTCACTCGCACTCGTGTCCTTCCCCCCCCGCCCTCCTCCCTCCTCCTTCTACTCCTCCCTCCTCTTCCGTCAGTATTTCCCCCTCCTCCTACGCCCTCCTCCTACGCCCTCCTCCTCCTCCGTCTCCTCCTCCTGATCTTCGTCCTCCTCCTCCTCATCCCCGTTCCCTTCTTCTCCCCGCAGCTCTTCCTCCCAGCCCGTGCCCCTCCTCCCCCCCCTCGGACCTGGGCCGGCACAGGAGCGGCTCGGAGGCGGACCGCGCGGGGAGGTCGTACATGGAGTCCGTGCGCTCCACGAAGCCTGGCTGCGGAGTCGCTCATCATCCTCCTCAAGGGCGCCCAACTTCTCGCGCCGCCCCCCCCGGAGGAGAAGAGGAGGATGAGGAATCGCAGCCGAACCGCGAAGCGCGAAGTGCGAACAGCTCCGCGCCCTCGAGGGCGCCCTTGCCTCCTGCCCCCCCACCCTGGCCACCGCGGCGTTTCCCAGAGCGATGGCACCAGGAAACTGGTGCCCAGGAGCGCGCCGCCCCAAGGCCATCACTTTAAAGTCGTATTTTTCTCCTCCTCCTCCTCCTCCTCCATTTCCTCATCCATCCATCCATCCAGCCATCCATCCATCGCCCATCCCCATCAATCGCTTCTCACATGCTCCACTCCTATTCCTCCTTCCTCTTCAATTTGCGAACTGTTCCTCCTCCTCCTCCACCTCCTCCTCCTCCTCCTCCGCCTCCTCCTCTGCCTCCGCCTCCGCCTCCGCCCCCGCCTCCTCCTCCTCCTCCTCCTCCTCCTCCTCCTCCTCCTCCTTCTATTCAGCCCTCTCCTCCTCCCGCATCATCCCTCCTTTTCCCCATTTTCATCCATCCCCCACTCCCTCCTCTTCCACTGAAATTCTACCCCCAGCCCACCCTACACCCCACACCCTTTCATCATCATCATCATCATCATCATCATCATCATCATCATCATCATCATCATCATCATCATCATCATCACCACCACCACCACCACACCACCACCACCACCACCAGCAGCATCATCATCATCATCATCATCATCATCATCATCATCATCATCATCATCATCATCATCATCATCATCATCATCATCATCATCATCATCATCATCATCATCATCATCATCATATCGTCATCATCATCATCATCATCATCATCATCATCGTCATCATCATCAGCAGCATCAGCGGCAGCATCAGCATGATCATCATCATCACCCTTATCATCATCATCATCATCATCATCATCATCATCATCATCATCATCATCATCATCATCATCAGAATCATCATCATCAGCTGCATCATCATCATCATCATCATCATCATCATCATCATCATCATCATCAACAACATCATCATCATCGTCCTCATCATCATCATCATCATCATCATCATGATCAGCAGCATCATCACCATCAGCATCATCATCATCATCATCATCATCATTATCATCAGCATCATCATCATCATCATCATTATCATCATCATCCTCATCGTCATCAGGATCAGTATCATCATTACCATCATCATCATCACCACCACCACCTCCATCATCAGCATGATCATCAGCATCAGCGTCATCCTTATCAGCATCAGCATCATCATCATGCTCATCATCATCATCATCATTATCAGCAGCAGCACCATCGTCATCGTCATCATCATCGTCATCATCATGACCATGATCATCATCCTCATCATCATCAGCATCAGCATCGTCATCATCATCATCATCATCATCATCATAATCATCACCATCATCATCAGCAGCGTCAACATCATCATCATAACAATCATCCTCATCATCATCAGGATCAGCATGATCATCATCATCAGCAGCATCACAGTCACCACCACCAGCATCATCAGCATGATCATCCGCAGCATCATCCTTATCATCCTCATCATCATCATCAGCATCAGCATCATCAGCCACACCATCACCAGCATCAGCATCATCAGCCACATCATCATCAGCATCAGCATCAGCATCAGCATCATCATCATTGTCAAAATCAGCATCATCAGCATCACCATCATCATGGTGATCTCTCTCTCTCTCTCTAACTCTCTTCCCACCTCCGCTTCCTCCTCATCCGCCTCCTCGTCATCCTCAGAATCATCAGCACCATCATCCCCACAACCAGCATCATTATCACCAGCAGCAGCACCACCACAACCACAACCATCATGTTCACCACCACCGACACCACCATCATCGTCATTAGCATCATCATCATCATGATCATCATCATCATCATTTTCATGTCCAGCAACCGCATCAGCATCATCATCAGCATCATCGTCAGCGTCATCGTCAGCATTGGCCTTATCATCCGCATCATCATCAGCAGCAGCATCATCAGCAGCATCATCACCACCACCACCAGCAGATTCAACACCAACATCATCATCATCATCATCATCATCATGAACAGCAGCAGCAGCATCATCCTCATCATCAGCATCATCATCAGGAGCATCATCCTCATAATCAGCTCAGCATTATCATTATCAGCAGCAGCACCATCATCATCTTCATAATCATCATCATCATCATCATCATCATCATCATCACGACCATCATCATCATCATCATCATCATCAGCAGCAGCATCATCATCATCATAAGCATCACCACCACCATCGTTATCATCATCATCAGAATCGTCATCATCACCAGCAGCATCATCACCATCGTAACCAGCATCATCACCAGCAGCAGTAGCATCATCATAATGGTTATCCATGTTATCAGCAGCATCGCCATCATCATCATCATCATCATCATCATCATCATCATCATCATCATCATCGTCATCGTCACCGTCTTCATCATCATCATCATCAGCAGCATCATCATCATCCGCATCAGCATCATCGTCATCAGCAGCAGCATCGTCACCACCATGGTCATCAGCAGCAGCAGTAGCCTCATTAGCATCATCATCAGCAGCAGCATCGTCATCGCCATCATCATCAACGGCCTCATCCTCGTCATCGTCATCGTCGCCGTCATCATCATCATCATCATCAGCAGCAATATCATCCTCCGCATTATCATTATCATCAGAAGCAGTAACATCATCATTACCGGAATCAGAATCATCATCATCATAATCGTCATCATCATCAGCATCATCAACGTCATGATCACCATCGTCGTCAACTCACCCCATCCTCCAAGTCTCGTTATCTCCCACCTCCTCGATCCCGTACCCTCTTTGATAAGTACGCCCTCTCACACCCCCACACGTGCAGGTAGGGCGGGCCATGCGATTCGCTTGATCCTGAAGCTTGAACTGTGCAACAGCTAGAAGGATGGATGAGAGTGTCATTTTCAAAATCGGGGTATCGCCTCAGCGCCGCGCGCATTTGGTGTAAAAACTTAGACCGGCTACCAAGGTGGAGGGGGGCCGTTTTCAAAATGGAGCTCTCGCAGTAGCGCTCTGCACATTCGTCTGAAGTAAACTTGCAACAGGTACGAGAGTGGAGGGCAATCCCTTTTTCCATAATCGGGCTGTCTCCTCAGCGCCGCACATTCGCCTGAAAAGCTTGCAGCAGTTGCACGGATGGCAGAGAGCATTTTTCAAAATGGAACTCCCGCCTCAGCGCTGCACACGTTCGTCTCGAAAGCTTGCACCCGTCTCGAGACTACGGCGTCGACGAGAACGGAGTCCACCTCGGCCTCGGGGGCGTCAGCTCCCCCTGCGGCGAAGCGCAGCCTGGTGACGACATGCGTTTGAGGAGGCCCAGGCGAGCGCGCGTCGAAGGGACCCCCCCCAAGAGAAAAGCCCGGAGTGGCACGGCGCTCGTTGACGGACGCGAGGTCACCTCGCCAAATTCGGGAGGGGTGCGCCCACCTCCGCGACGCGCGCGCCACCGTGAATGTAGCCAGGGCGGAGAAAGCTCACTCCTCCTCCTCCTCCTCCTCTTCCTCCTCCTCCTCCTCCTCCTCGTTCTCCTCCTCCTCCTCCGCCTCCTCCTCCTTCGTAGTGCGAAGGCTACGGTTCTGACTGGGCACAGGCTCCCAGCAGCCACCCTGGAAACAGGATTCCCGTTCACCGCGGACCAGCTCTTAAGACGAAGCCGGGACGAGGGCAAAATCGGATAGGGACGAATCGAGGACAACTGATATCCCTGACTGCGGCTGGCGATTTGGCCACCGCCATTCACACAGACGGGGGCCAGGACCAGTGCGGCGGCCAGCAGTCTCCTCCTCGGCTGCTGGTTGCCCTGCTTGGCTTTTTCACAGTTGCTTCCACCCCAGGGTGGCCTCGCGGCGGCTCCAGGGTGGTCTCTTCTTAACCCCATTTGACTTTTCTCGGCCTCCGGCCGAGGGCGTTACGGCATAGCACCGTGTCGCCATCAACAGCAACAAGCGAGGATCCCTGAGATCTGGCGGCTCTGGAAGATGCCTCGGGCACCGCGGCCCTCCCAGAGCGTTCTGGAACGCTCTGCGAGCGTTCCGGAACACTCTGGAACGGATCTATCCTCGTCCCAGCCCCGTCCGACCAGCTACCAGTAGCCACCCTGGAAGAAGGATTCCCTTTCACCGCGGACCAGCTCCGACGCAGCACAAGGACCGGGCAACCCCTCTGCAACAGGCAACACGCACGGGACTGCGGGCCAAAGAAGCACAGGTGCGCTACCCCGCCGAGGGCCGCGCGCGCCCGCTGCTCGCAGACCCCAGCCCGCGACAGCGGGCTCCCTGGACAGCTTTTCCAAGGCCTGCGAAACGCGTGCCCACGCGTCTACGAATATCGGCGGCGAGCGAGGGGGAGTGAAGAGGAGGAGGCCTTCGCGGCAGGCGGCGGGGCTTCTCCGAGACCCACGTGCCTCCTGAGAGGTTCTCGGTGTCTTCGGGGAAGGCACGGAGCACTGTTCGCAAGCCCGAGGGACTGCCGAGCCTTCTGAGGAGGTCCGCCCCTTCTCGCTTACCCCTCTCGGCTCGCCGCCGATGGCAGGCACGCGGGCCAACAGCCTCCATTGATGGGGGCACGTGGACGATCGGCACACGATCAAGGTCGGCAGCACTCTGGCTAGATGCAGCCTGGCCTTCGTGCGCAGTGCGAAGATGCTCGGGCAGGCCACCGACTCAGCCATGCACGAACCTGCAGCCTGGGCCCACAGTGCAGCGCTCGTGGCGGAACCCGACTGCCCTTGCCACGAGCCTCACGGTCCAGAGGGAGCCCCAGCTCTGCCTCTCCCCCCCCGCGCCGAGCCCGAGGCGCTGGGAGACGCACTGGAGGCCATGGTGGGGTTCTGCCACCCGCACCAGGAGC